AAATTCAAGACCTGGGCTGAAGGAAGGCAGATGTGTACGAGCTGGCCGATCACAAAAAATCCTCAGAAACTATTTCGCCCCTGCTCAATCCCAAAAAGCTCTTTTGAAAACAGATGGTCTATAACTCAACCCCTGCTTCCAAAGGTGAATGACAGGCTTCCTGAACCACAGCAGACCAAGTTCCCAGCTCCCCAGTTTTACACTTCCCCATTCAACTAGATAAAAATCACTAGTGTTAGATCAAGCCTGGAATTTGGTCCTTTTCATTTAACCTTCCCATGTACTCAGATTAATTTTTTTTTTTTCCCCCAACCACCTTTTTAAGAGTCATTCTTCCCAGGCCAACTGAGATAAATGGCAAGTATTTAGTTATCTGGATTTCCTCCATCCAGAGCCTTCTCAAGACCAGGATGCACAACTGAAAAGTATGCTTGAGGTTTTGGGGTAGGTTTTTGTATTTGAATTACAAGTTACTGATTCTTCATAAGTCATTTTTAGTGTCAAGAATCAAAAAAAAAAAAAGCCCCTTGGATTAAATACTGCTTGTTTCACCAACGGGAGCCTTTTGAGAGCTGGAAGACGAATGAGAACGTAATGTTTAGGACTTGTTTTGCATGTCTCCACATCCAGCATATATGAGTCAGTCACACAGAATAGAAGCTTGTTAAAAAACAGATGACGGGTGCAACAATTATTTGTGTGGGTTTTTATTTTTTTTTAATAGAAAATTCTAATATAAAACAGCAAACATCTTCAGTTTGCCTTGTTTACAAAAATATTATATATATTTTTTTATATTTCTGACATAACTAAATGCACTATTCAATAAAAATATTCTTCCATCAGCTAACTTCTCTTTTAAAAAAATTAATAAAAAAGTTATATAAATAATGGTTGCACCCCCCCACCCCAAAACTGATCTCGCAAGTCTTGCTGGATCAGCTTAGGAGAACCAACACTTTGACACTTTTGGGGGGACAGGGGGTGAAAGGGGATCAGAAACCAGAGACCTCCCCTACACCCATCCATCCTTCTCCAGTTACATCTGCTGTAAAAACCTGTTTCTCTGGGGGTAAGAAAAAGGAAAAAAAGTTGCTTTGCACTTTTTTTTCTGTATGAAATGACACCATGAAAGATTCAGGGACCCAAATCCACTCTTGTAGTAGTTTTACAAAAACGAGCAATTTCATTGAATTGCACCGGAGGTCCAATGGTGTGGTGGTAGAATTAGCCTCTCTGGAAAAATCCAGTTTCATACAGCTGGAACAAAAAAGGGTTTACAGGACACTGCCCAATGTTTTATAGAGAACTTTGGGGTCTCTTATCTAGGATCTTCTGAACTGGCGTATGGAGTAGCACAAGCAGAAGCTCCTGCTCCATGGGTCAATTGAATTCCAACACACATCTATCACCAGCAGAAAACCCAGGTCGAGCACTTGAGGGGGTTTTCAGAGGGTTTGACACTTTTCTACCAGCTGCTACTTGTTCCATCCTACTCAAGCTCCACTGGATTTTTCCAAAATGAGGCTTTTCCCCCCATTCTTTCTTCAAAGATAAGGCAAACATCGGAAAATGCTGGAACTAAACACCCCGCCACCCAAAACACACACAACGCGGTGGGGGGAAGAAGAAAAATAACCCACATACATTTTACCACCCTAGGTCAAAAGGCCAAGAAGACAAGTTCTCCTGATTTCAGAGTGTTAGTATATTTTATACACTGCCTATACATTTAACACATGTGCCTCGCTACTATTTAGTTATTTATAATTTTTTTTTTAACCACAGGAGAATAAACCTTGCTATTTACAATATATAACAGGCAAGTAATATATCCACATTAACATAAATACAATTTGTTTTTTGTGGTTTTTTCTTTTTTTAAATACTTACAGAAAGCATCCAGGCTTCAGTGCGTGAGTTATAATACACAGAAGAGCTCTTTCACTCAGTAGTTCATTCACTCCTTGCCTCTTTCTTCTAGTCAAGCTTTGACAGTCTGCCTTATTGCCCACCCATCTCTCTCTCCCCCCCACTGCCAAACACACCAAGCTACCCTATCCCATGCGACCCGGGCATTTTCTCTGCAATATTGATGCCAATGCTGCCCTCTCTTCTGCATCTAGGGACTCATTCTCCTCTCACACCAGTGCAATGTGGAGTTACTCCAGCGAGGTCAATGGAGACAGAGACACCAGTGAAAAGAAGGAAAATGAGGCCCATGGTTTAAATATAACAATAATAATAATAATAATTAATAATAATTAATAATAATAATAATGCACATAAATTGTGGCCCATTCTTTAATTAAGAACAATTTTTAAAAAAAAAAAAAAGAATGGGGCCAGAAATAGTAATTCAGACCCAAAAATCCTCACGTTTTGAGCAGGTTTGGATCCAGCCTTACTTTGGAGGGGAAGAACTATTCTAGCACACACACAAAAATGTAACAGTGAGTTTGCACATATGTGTGAGAGAGAGAGACAGAGGGAGAAAGAGAATTTAACATAATACCACATTGAAACCATAAGAAGGTCCTTCTGAAGGGCTTTACAATAAATAAATGTTCGTTCAATATTTATATATATATATTTATGTGTCAGCACGTGTGTATATTTATACACACGTGCACACACTGAATAATAGGTTTCTAGTCAGTTTATTTTTTTAAACCATTAGATAAACTGCTCGTGGGTGACTTTCGAAGCGGTGCATCTCCCAGAAGCTGTGAGACCTTCCTGCAAACTTTCTGCGTCGAATGCACCAGCGCGCGCATTTGCCGTGGTGGAAGGGACAAACACCATGTGTGGATTCCTCCTTTTCCAGCACTACCCCAACCTCCGGAATTGTACAGCAAATAAGAAAACCTCAAAAAAGAGACAGTACGGTTCACTTTGCAGGACCATAGCGCTATTAATAGTAACATCCTGCCCGTCCCCATGCCCCCACCTCAAGATTTGATGCCAATGAGCCAGGCTGGATTGCAGGTATTTGTTACCGAGAAAAAAAAAACCAAAACCTTTTCTCCTCCCAGTAGATGCACATGAACAGCTTAAATATTAGTGGCTACTTTTTGGGGAAAAAAATTTTTAAAAAAAGGAAAAAAAAATTAAGAAAAGAAAAAACACCTTGAAAAAGAATGGTCCATCTTGGAAAACTGATCTGTTTTTGCTTGGCTAACATCTACTACTGATGCACATGAACAGCTTAAATATTAGTGGCTACTTTTTGGGGAAAAAAATTTTCAAAAAAAAGGAAAAAAAAATTAAGAAAAGAAAAAACACCTTGAAAAAGAATGGTCCATCTTGGAAAACTGATCTCTTTTTGCTTGGCTAACGTCTACTACTGCTTGAAAAACTCCAGCCAGCTTTCCTCTTTTAAGAGCCAGATCTTACATAAAACTGGTGGAAATTGGTGCTGATTGCTACTGCTGGACAAAGCAAAAATTGCTACCAAAAATAAAACAAAATGCCCTCTTCTCTCCAGTGTTTCCTCAGGAAGCTTCATTGAGGCATGCACTGGCTGCTTGCAATCAATCCACTTTTATACAACTGAAGGATATTGCCACATCAAGTCCTGGATTGTAAGTATCCTCTTCAAAGGAAAACCAAAATGCTGAAGGTTGTCATCTGTTTCACAGCGTCAGAGTGATCTACCACTGCAGTCAATCTCTGGCTTCTCTGGCCACTCGATAGTTTGTCTCTTCATCGATTGGTTGTTCTGAATCCAATAGTTGGTTACCATTTAGCAGTTGTATTTTTAAAATACAGTTCTCGATCTAGTGGTTAAAAAAAAAAAAAAATCTTAAGGTCATAGGGTTTACATACAGCTTGTGTCATGTACCACTGCCATGGTTTAGAGTAAATGGAATGATGACCTAGTAAAAGAAAAGTCAACTCCTCCAGAGGTCTGATCCAGTCCAAAATGGCTGCTATACAATGCAAGACAGCACTGCGTTCCAAGATACACTGGAATTTCTCTTGTCCTACTCAGAAACACACGTCCAAATTCAGCTGGCATAAGACTAAAAAGTTCCAGTTCAGATTTCTGAAGCAGTTACCACAGGGCGAATTCGATCAGCAAGAGGTGGGAAGAGGAGAGAAAAATAAATCATGCATGAAGTGAAAATAAAACAAAAGTATCTAGTGGTTTTTTTTTTTTTAAAAAAAAAATTAAGACAGCGATAGTGCTAAAGAAACTGCATTTGAAGAAATTGTTTTAAAAAAAGAACACGTGATTGGACTGAAGAGGACAGGCACATCTGGTTTTCTACTGTCTTCCCAACCTCTTTCTTGGATATATTTCTGTCTGCAACGTGGTGGACCCAACATTTTGAGCTGAATTTGGTGATCAAAGCATGTGGATGTGGAGCTGTCGTTCAAAAGCTCACCCTCCCAGTGGGTCTCTTTGTCAGAGCCTTCTTTGCTCGATGTGCGGAAACTCCACTAGAGGAACCATCAGGGCTGTTCCTGCTTACCCTACGCACCTCCCTCCAGTTTTAGAAGGGGAAATAAACGACCACTTCCCATGCCATCACATTCAAAGCAGAAAGATCTTTCTTCCATATCTGCTTAGCTCTCTAAGCAGTTGGGTAAGCTTCAGGAATAAAGTAGTACAGGTTATTTATGCCAAAGAGAATATAATAGCCCAGGAGTTCATGGAGGATTGGTGAAACGATCAAGATGTTCCAAGGTTGAATGATCTGTCAAACCGCGCGGACGACTAAGGTGAAGTTCAGCTGGTGTCTAACCCCAGTGTGACAGGCACTTATTTCCACATGGTTGGACCTCATTAAAATTCAGTCTACAGGAAAACAAAACAAAACAAAAACAAAAACAAAACAGCAACACAGCTGGGTCACCTGTACCCTACAAAGTGCTTATGTCTCAACATAGCTTTCAGATCCCAGAAGGTCAATCAAACCCTGTTTGTCTCCATATGTAGTTCTCATAGATCGCCATCGCCCGTCACCAAGGGTTGCCATCAAGCAGAAGACGCGTCAGTCTTTGCAGGTGTAAACCTCTTCTCTCTGGGTGCACTGCTTGCATTCCACATAGCAGCACCAACGGACCTGGCACTGGCACGGGCGGGTGACCACCCGGCTCTGGGTATTGTGCCCTCGCCCGCAGCAGATGCTGTCACAGTTCTTGTCTTTGTAACATTTCCTTCCCGAAGTCCCAGGAGAGTATCTACTCATCATACAGAAGCTCGGGGAATCGTCAATGTAGACAAGATCTGTAGTCCTTGGGATTTGATCACTGTGACCAGGGATGGACTTCTTGGGTGGGGAGATGTCTCCTTCCCCCGTGGCCTCGTTGGTAGTGCTGCCCACTTTGAGCGATGTCTCGTACTTTTGTTTTAGCTGCTTCCCTATTTCATGGAATGGAGAGAGCTGCCTCCAGCACGTTCGGACAGTACAGGATCCGGATACACCGTGGCATTTACAGGTTGTCTCCACTCCAGCTTTGATGACCTGCAGATACACACAGCCCCAAAAGAAAATCAGTTACGGGGGAAGAAACCAAGACACAGAGCAAAAAAAACATTTGCTAGAAGACACTCCTGGAACACAAAGTTGATGACAATACAAAAACTGTCTGTTGGAAGAGGACAGAAAACACACACTGCAGGAAATACTTGTTTCAGAAGGCTCCCAGCTTCCAGGAATATGACATCTACCTGCCAGAACATGGCTAGTTAACGATACTTGTAAGGCGTACAAAGGCTCTCCAGTGCTGGCACTCATCTACGTAGACAGAATTCTGAAGCTCTGATGCAACCAAGAGATTAATACATATTTTAACACCTATTTATCTATTTTAATAAGAACAATGAGATAAGATGTAACAGAAGTGGAAGGAGCTGGTTTAGTGGAGAAAAGAGGGAGTAATGTGCACAAACTCACAGGTGGGGTGGCACATGCTCCAGAACGTGAGCGTGGACAGTAGGAACCTTCTCCACACAGTAGGAACCTTCTCCACACCACCACACACAGGATACCACCTTAAACTCACACAGCTCCCAGGTGGCAGCACGGGCTTAGCGGAAACATGGTGAAGCTGTGCTGTTTCCACCAGTAGCGACTGGGTATAGCATCCCACCCGGGTCACTTTGTGACTGAGGGAAAACCTTCATGTTGCTGAAATGATATATAAATTGGCGAAAGCAGCAGCCTGAATTGCCACCGCCAAACCCATCAGCTCCAAAAGCATCCAGGTAGCTTACACCTCTCCAACCTGTATTAAGGATCCTATTCTGGAGTGTGGCAGCACATCCATAAGGACCTGCCAATTTTTTTTCTGCTAGCAATGAAGCAGCCTGCATGTGCTCTTAAAAACAAAGAGCGCCATTGCTTGCTGGCCAAACGTGTGTTGAATGAAGCACATTTTCACGCAGGGTAAAGCCCGAGGCTGCCTCAGTCTCCTCTGTGCCCTCCCTTTCTCTGAAAGATGTGAAGAAATGGAAAACAGACCCTTGTGTGAAGGGTTCAGCAACTCCAAGTGCTTTAAAGCAGCCCCCAGGATTTACTCTGCCTGTAGCACCAGCTGTAGGCAGCTTGGAAGGGGAATCTCGCTTCTCACATAGAAGGTTTCAAGGGGAAAAACGTGAAATCTGGGTTGATGTTGCAGTGAGAAGTGTCCATCCCAGTGGGCTCTGCCCTCAGCCCATCAGTCAGTGACCCCTGGGGACTACAGCAGGGCTGGTAGCTGCAGGGGACTAGGGCAGCAGTCTTCAATTTTCAACCAGAGAAAGGATGTGGGGCAGTCACTCTTCAGGGAGGTAAGGAGACTTTAAATTTTCAGTTCAGGCCATGGGAACAGACTCCCTGCACTAAAGACTGCACCATCTGCCCCCTCATGAGCAAGCAGGAGCTGCCCCATGTCAGGATGGGGAACCTCAACTGCTGCCTTGATGCTTCAGCAGCACCTCGGGGTGAGCAGATCTTAAGATTTGACCAGGCAAGACAGTGAGCAAGGCCACAAGTGTTTACAGAAAGCTTGACCCAGGGGTGGAAAAGCCACTTGGCCAAACACTGTGTAGGGATTCTGGTGAGGGGATAAAGGGAGATGGCATCACAAAGGCATTCAGGGGCTGCTGCACCCAACTGTTGTCTACACAAGCCATCGTCCAGGAAGGAACACACTGCAAGGTTCAAGTCCCAGGCTAGCATAAGTTCCATAATGTATTGGCTGAACCATCTATAAGGTGTTCTCAACTAGGATGGAAATGTATATTTTATTCTCTCCAGAAAAAAAGCAGAGCACTTATGACCGAAGTCTTCAAACTCAAGGTGGAAAAGAAAGGGAAGACATTTAAACCTTTGGAAACCGAAGTGGATTATGTCCCCTCCACACGAGGACTCTCACGTTAAACTTTGGACCTGCCTATGCCTCTTGACTGCAACTATCAGTAGCAAGGCTTGGTTTCTAATCCTTTCTTAATTCATTTATTTATTTTAATAGTCAAACATTTGCAGTGAGTTTTGTAATGAGAAATTAGGTTCATCTCACAGATCCCTAAAGGAGGGAAATAACTTGTTCAAGATATCAGAAAGTAAATGTATATCTTTAACTTATTCCCAAAGCAAAAGAAAGTGAATCTCCATATAGGAAGGTGTCCAGATCTTGCCTGGAGGTAGCTTGCATGGGAATAGCTCTCTTCAGACCACAACAAAGAGTAAATACAGAAGGAAGAGCAAAGCCAGTGGAACCACGGTGTTCACACAGGAGACTGAGGGAATGGAAAGAGAAGATTATTTTCAACAGAAAAAAGCAGCATGGGAAGGAGAAGCAGTATCAGGAAGGGAAGGGAAGAAAGCAAAGAGAGAGTCAATGGTTATTCATCATAGAGAGAGAGAAAGGTGGTAAGAGCCCCCCAGGTGCTGTACAGAACCCCATACCCATAAACCAACTGATGCTAAACAAAGGATCCCATCCTTTTTGAATCAGACTGCAATAAAGATGCTTCGTGGCACAACAGCATATCCATCTCCTTATAAATGGCATCTGAATGTTCTCACCCACCTTCTCCAGAGATAGGCTTACGCTTGGGAATCCTCCGTGGGCAACATGAGGGCAGACACATTATTTGGACAGTCACAGATAACCTGCATTTTGCCCACAGATTATAAAGAGATATTTATAGTTCTAGTTCTCCCCTTCTCCCCCTTCCCCCAAAAGAGGTTAACGTTTTGACTTTAAACGGGTAAGGTATAACCACCCCTTAAAATAGCAAGTTAGAACAGAGTCTGTTTTATAGAGCTGCCTCCTGTCAGGGTAATACCGAAAGTGCCCTATCTTCGGGCATCTGCAGTATCCGAAAAAGAAAAAAAAAAAAAAAAAATCATCTCCCCCCTCTGCCCATTATGGCATCTGCCAACATTATGGCCTCATGACAGCAGAGGACTGGCTCCGGTCCATTTCCTGACCATCCGGTTCTTAATTATTTGGCTGCATTGAGTCCTGCTGAGCACCATGTGCAAATGTGCAATAGGTCATGGACTCAGAATTGGGGTCTGGCCCAATCCTGATATTAGAGACATTTTTAGAAAGACACTATGCATAATACGGCCTTCAGCAAAGCCTGGCCAATGGTCACACTTCATTCCTGCGACAGCCAAGACCTTTTCAAATGCAATCCAATAATACACAGTAGCATTCAAACAAGTGACGGGTTACAGAGAAAGATGTGTTACTGCTTTTAGTACTCAGCTGGGCCGGCTTGGTTAGGGGCTGTTACGCTTCGCATGCCAAAGTGTCTAGCCAACTCTGCAAGAAATCCCACAATGTTAGACAAGAGCGTACAGAACACATTTCAACGCCGAGAAAAAAAAAAAAAAAAACCACAACACCCTCACCCATACCGTCCCTCATGTAAAGTCACATTTCACTGGTTGTCCAGAAGTGAGAGCTGAGTTCATGTGAAACAAAGCTCCTATACCTGATTTCACGCCCAGACCATCAGCAAACTGGGCAAAATTGCTGGGATATTTGCAGAAGGGCTACACACTGCAGTCATTCATCGGTTTAGGCTTTTCTGAACCCTTCCACCTCCCCCAGGCCATTCGCATCTGCTCCACCTGGAAAAGGAGATGACCACCATTGTACAGGAGATGGGAAAGCAAGAAACCAACAGGAATTGGCTCGGCTGGTAGACATGCTCCTGTGCACAGGCTTGGCTGGATTTAGGGCTGGTTGAGCAAGGCATGGTCATGAAATGCAGGAAGGGAACGTGGACACGGGGCTGTTCTCATCAAGAGCCACCTCTCCAGAGCTCAGTGGGAGAGCTGACATTGCAGGTGCAATATATCCAAGGCATCCACATGGGGCTGGTAGATATAGCACAAGACATGTTGGAAATCCAGACCCTGATGGGTCAGCAGCTAGCAGATGGCAGCAGACCTTCAGTCAGGAATAGGCATGTAGGTTTAGGCACCTGAATCACACCATCCAGCCAGGCTTGACCTCGCCAAGGCAGACATTTGAGTTTAAGTGCCTGCATTTGAGAAACACCTCTAAACTCCCATCTGACTCAGTGGAGCCAAAGCAGGCAGGGGATCTTACAGTGAAGCAGACACCTGCACATGCTCAGCTGAACAGCTCTCCAGGCTCGACCAACATCTCCACTCACTAGCAGGAGCCTAGGGACCCAGCTCACAGAGGCACCTCAGGTTTAGATATCTTAAACTGTGAGCAGAATCCCACCCTCTGGGATGAATTCAGGTGCCTAAATATCAGCATCTAGCATTATCTGAGGTACTGTAAAACACTGCCCTTCATCACCAGCTGCCCCTCCAGAAGCTTAAAGATCTCTCAAAAGGTACTAATGCATATATTTAGGTGGATGAATCCTGTTCTTGTCTGTGTTTAAACAGTGATGAACAAAGCCCTTAATGAATCCCAGTCTGGTTTTTTCCTGACCCACTTCTAGCTCCTTGTTAACCAGCAGCTAGGACAGCTTAGATGTCGTGCACTGATGGACCAAAGCATCAAAGCTTTCCATTGTCCGCGTTCTCATGAATGCACCAGTTCACAAAATCCAGCATGTGGATTTTCATATGGCCACTGTGCAAGCGTGGTGCATCCCAACCACCCCATAAACCTTCTCCTTGAAGGGCCGGGAAGGGCTCAAAAATGTTCTGAGGCAGCTATGGTAAAAAATCCTAGAAAAATGTCTTCCCCAGGCAGCCTCCCCTGCTGCTCTCAGTCACGATGCAGCTACTCAAGGCGACGCGTGATGGAGAACTGCTGCCTACGGGCCCCTAACCACCCACGAGCCAGCATAAATCTTGGCAAAGCCCTTCTGTTTCCCATCTCATTCCCCAGATTCCATGAAGACCTTCCTCCTCTTGTTGCAGGCTCCTGTCAGAGACACTTAAATCCACCTCATTCCTCCAGGAAGCAGAGCAAGGCTTTTCCAAGTCAACAGGTTGCTTGGAGCAGTGTTAGAGAAACCTTTCCTGTCTGGGCCCTG